TTTATTGTCTTAGAGGAAGAGAATACGTTGTGTGAATTAGGTCAACTTCTACATAACTCTTAACTGGTTTCCCACCCACCCACTCTATTTCCTATGTCAGCCAAAGTGATCTTTTCAAGACAAATCTGATCACACACTCCGTTGCTTGATTTTACGTCCCCTCCTCCCACAACCAAGCCTGCAGATCTCAACTTAATGCTTTTTCAGCCAACCCAAGCCTGGCTCCACACTAGATTGTGTAACTGGCATTCTCAAAGCCATTCTTCTCCTTTGTGACCCTTTTCCCAACGTTATTGTCAGTCTTCCCTACTAGACTTGTAAGCTTGAGGGCAGTGTCAGGTTTGCTTTTTTCTGCCATTCGTAGAGCCTGGAATAGTGGCTAACACACAGTAAGGCGGTGTTTTACTGTCATTAGGAAGGCTGCTTATACTTTCAACAAATACTGCCATATATAGAATATAACATTAAAGCTCATTATGTGGTAGCTATTAAAACTCTATCTAGTTCATTTGGTTCATCCACTAAGATGAATTCATTTCATTTATATCAGCCTGCTACCCCAACTACTCACCAGATCTCTCAAGCCATTCAGTACTGTTTCCTCATCACCCACTTTTTCCTTAACACTCAGCATATTTTCATCATATATATTTTCATAGGTGACCTCTCCATTATTACTTCCTGTCTTCATTTGAATGTACCCTACTGCCCATGTTTTCCTTAAAAAAAAAAAAAAGACATGCGGTATTACAATTCCGTGATTTTCCACTGCCCTTTCCTGCCCCTTCTAGCTTCAGACATCTCCCCAGACACCGTGCATATGTATCTCCTGCATATCCTCAAGAGAACTAGCTGCTTTAACATTTCCATTGTGGTAGTTATTTGTACATTGCCTTACAGTTTATGTCTTGACATGTCTCATCTTTGTAATTCTGAAAGGTAGATCTTGGTGCACCCTTTGCAGAGAACAAATCAAGGCTCAGAAAACTTTGTCTAGTAGTTAATGAATACTTACGGATTTGGATTCAGATTCTTTGACTCTGAACGAACCTTTTATTAACCAAACTCCCAAGTCAGCTATTCACCTGAAGTCATTTATTTCTAAAGGCTACAGTAGGGGTACTGCAGGGACTCTCAAATGTGTATGTACACTAAACTCCATGGGAGCTTAGGGAAAATAGTCATCAAATACCCCATCACAGCCAGGGGCTGAGGAAAATGAAGAGATGTTGTCCAAAGGATAGACATCCAGTTGTATGAGGATCTGATGTTTTGGGGACCTAGTTTACAGCACAGTGACTGTAGTTAACAGTGTGGTAAATGTGTACTTGAAAGTTGCTATCAGAGTAGACTTTAAATGTTCTCATCTCACTCTATCAAAAATGGTAATTAGGTGAAGGATGTGTCAACTAACCTTACTGTGGTAAACATTTCACAATATATGTATCAAGTCATCACAGTGTATACCTTAAACTTACACAATATCAACTTTACTCAATAAAGATGGAAAAAAAAGTCTCACCACAGAGACTGGGGTGGAACCAGAGTGCTATTTTGTAGTTATGCTGGTTCATGTTATTTTGCCCATTATATCAAGTATAAATTCCTCCATTTTAGCTTCACCGTAATCTGGTTGTCATCATTATCTCCTTTTCAAAATTCACCCCTTTATTCAGATTTTATTCTACTTCCTCAAACAGTAGTTCCAGAAATTGTGATTCCTCCTGTCTGTAACCTATTCTGTGTACCTTACCTGTATGTCCTGAAGATATATATCAAAGAGGAAAGTAATATGAAAAAAATCGTGTAACAAAAAAAGCACTATACAAATATAAGCTGTTGGATATTGATTCTAATGGCTGATAAAATATCGTCAAAGAAAAGTGCTTCCATAAAAGTTTTATTTATCCCCACAACAACCCTGTGAGGTAGGGTGATCAGGGCATTTGAAGATGAGAAAACTAAGTCTACATTACTTGTTCACGGCTATACTGCATAGTAAATATGTAGAAATTAAACTGAGATTTTTAAAATCCATGACTTTTATATTGATTCACATGGAAAAAGGCAGAGAGAATATTAACTCCCCCCTACCTTAATGCCAAAAGGACACTGCCTTGAAAAATCCCATTTCAAAAGATGAAAGTAGTATTTCATTGCTTATTTCTACAAAGATTTATAAAATAAAAAAATAGTGAAATATTTTACAGTTAATATATATAATGGTCTCATTCAGGGATGTCCTTCAGCTGTATATATATGATCAACTATTTCCAAGTGCTAGAAATGCAAACTCTTAAAAAGTATGAGACAAGAATGATAATGAGCAGTAGCCTGAATCTTCTTTATTATTCCTCCATATATCTTGATTAAGTTCTGTGAAATCTGGTCCCAGTTTGAAAAAAAACAAACACCAACAAAAAACTACCACAGAGACGTCTGGTAAACTTTTATTTAGTTGCCTACTCTCAAACCACTGTCACATTATTTAAAACGGTGATTTCCCAAAGCTGGCTATTAGAATCACTTGGAGAGCTTTTTAAAAAACACAGAATTCTCAGGCCCCACTCTAGATCCATTGAGACAATTCTGTAGGGGCTAGACCTCAGGAATCTATTTCATAAGCTCTTCAGGGTAATTCTAATGCTGAGGTTTGGGAACCGCTGATGTATTTTAAAATACTAATATCAAAACCAAAAAGTAACTAAATATAAACTTGCTGCTCTCTTACCCCTTTTAAAAATTTCTCAAACACATTATATCCCCAGAACTCTTGCCTCTGGGCAAGTGATTTCAATTCAAGATACAGAGAAACATTTTATAAAAATGTATCCTAGTGAGTGAGACTTGGATTCCAATAATAATTTAAGTGGCATTTAAATAAGATACTGAGTTTTGTGGTTCTTAATCTGAAATTTTAAGATGTGTTTTATACAGGTTCCTAGCAGGTTTTCACCTTGGGAAGATATGAAAAGTAATGACATAATCAAGCATATTAGCACTGAAAAAATACTATACTCAAATATAGCTCATGAGAGGAATAAGAAAGTGAATGAATGACAACCTAAGGCCTTTTGGCCCATACATTTTTGTTCCCAGTCCACTCTTCCCCTATAAGGGGAAATAAAATAAACATTCTTTCCTAGTTGCTTGGCATAGTAATTCAGTGGGTAACTATTAACTAAGTTAATTTAGATACACAAGATTAAAAGAGATAACAAATAAATACCTAGGAAGACAAAGAGAAGTCAGTTCAGAAAACTTTAACTAGCTAAGGATGTGGTATATAACACCATCATGTTAGTACAATTAAATGAAGGCTTCAGTGTCCTTTACATTTCAGCTTTATGTGTTTGACACAAGATGTGGAAGAGATCTGGTCCTTATGAAGTATTCTGTGCTCGCTGTAAAGATCTGTAGGAATAATGAAATGCTTTCTTCACTGATGAGATGAAGTCTCTGTTTTTCAGGCAAGTTGACTGAACAAAACAATGAAAACGAACTTCTTTAGAAGGTTGAATGAAAGTAGTATCTAGCTGAAAAAGTCATTGGCCAAAGATAACTTTTTTTTAAACCATTCTATGTTTAACACTAAAAACAGAAACAAAAAACAAAAACAAAACAACAGTAACAACAACCAAACAAACCAGAAAAACCAGAGAAATATAAAAAAACAATGTACACATCCATTTCACTGACAGGTACAAGAAAATAGCCATTTATAGAAGTTACAATGCTTTCAACACCCCCCCCCCAATTTTGGGAAACAAGATAAAGCCATCGGGTAAATAAATATACATACTAGCTAATATAAAACAATTATGGTTTCAAATCGTTATCAACTCTTTTAAGACTCAAAGAGAAATATGGTGATATAAATCTGATTAGGGCTACATATATTACATAGAATTAAAAAACACAACTGATTTAAACATCCTAACAATACAAATATTTAAAAGAATGTCTTAAAAGCCAGACATTTATCACTGGAAATATCACAATTATAATATGTACTTCAGATATGTAATGTGTAAATAGGTCACTTTTGCTGTGTCTTATTAGGTATCCATCTCTCCTGCATTTCCTACAGTCAGTTTTTAAAGAGTTCATGTTTCCTGCCTGAATTGAAGCGGCTGGGCACATCTCAATTCACAAAATAGACACCTCCACTTAACTAAATGGAAGTGTTTAAGATAACATTTACCAAGAGCTAAAGAACAGAAGGGGTAACGAGAAGGTAAAACATATTAAAGTGGAAGGAAACTGAGTAACTGTCTCTTCACAAATTATTTTAAATTTTGTATTAACAACAAATTTAAAATGACTCAAATCGAGTAATGAAGAAAAATAAATTGGTCTCAAGGAATTTTCTCAGGCCATATAAAATTTCTCTTTATTCCTTTACAGAATCTTGTTATGCGAGATTCCTTTGTCAGTTGACTTAAAGAACTCTCCTAGCATGGGACTGAGAACAGCTTTACCATTAATAAAAGATGATTAAAAGTTGCTGTTTATTTTAAAGTGCCCATAGGCACAATACAGGAGCTTACATTTCCCTTTCAGTTATGGGAAAGCCCTTGGAGACTGTGTTTACTTAATCAGAAGAGCTTTCAGCAATTATAATGCATGCTGAAAGCTTAGATCTTGTATAGGTTTTAGGTTTTACTGTTTGAGCATAAAAGGGGAGCAAGGAGAAATGTAACTAGGTTCACAATTTTGAGCAAGAGCATATGTAAAGGTAACGTATGTACATTTTATTTCAAGAAAGACAGAAGACAAACAGCATAAAGATGCCCAGATGCCCTAAAGATAAATACATTTCAAAGATTCTCATTAAAATGAATCTGGAGTATTTTTTCCTGCAAGCAAAATACCTTTCTTTAAATTAAAACAAAAACAACCAAAACAAACAAACAAATAAAAAAAAAAAAAACCAGTATTCTGAATTGCAAATGTTTTGCTTTTTTTTTTTTTTTTTTGCAGAAAATCTGCCATGATTATTTTTTTAATGAGTAAGGATTTTCCACAAAACAGGCTTGCTCTACATGCTAGATTTTTTAAACAGTTCAGTGACACAATATGCTAACTACATACACAACAGATAATATAGTAAGAAAACACTCAACCTGATGAAAAGTTAAAATCTTCATTAATACACTGAAAACTGACATAACTCATGCCTTTAAAATCAAAAATACAAAAATTAAATGTTTTCCTAAAAAGATTTCCTTATTTTAAGGATTCATTTGAAAATGAAGCTGCATGTAATTTGTACAATAAGTTGTACAAGTAAACAGGTAATATACATAAAAAATTAAGTGACATACTCCTCAATTATCAGTTGTCCACCTTTAATTTCCAATACTGTACTTTCTTAACAAGCATACAAAATATCAAACTTCTCTTTAGAAAAAGTGCCGTTCTTTGACATCCTTTACACAAAAACAGTCTGAGCCTGTGGCATGTTAATGCAGTTGAGAGGCAAAGCATACTAACTTTTACAAATTCTACCTTCCATAAAAAGCCTCCCGAAAAGGAGATTACACACCACTATAAAAATATCAACCTCTTGTGGTAGCTGCATTAGAGAACCAAGGCTTGAAGACTATTTTCATATAGCATAGAAAACCACTATGAGAGCATATTAACTGCATTGGTGGCTTGGGAGTTTACTGTGCCACAGGATTATGCATAGCTACTGTAAGGTACCAAGACTGTTACACAGAGTTTTAAATTGATTGTAACCAAGAGCATAACAGAGGTACTACCAGCCCATGCAAAATAACTAAAAATACTGAGTCACTGTGCTGAATACTTCATTCCTGGAGAAAACCAAAGGCAGCAGTAACCAAATCAAGCCCAACAGGTGACCAAACTCATTCTCCTCAAAGATTGGTGAGCACAGTGAAGTCTGAGGTATACCTTTATCCATTAAATCTGTGTGCCATTGCAAGATATTACCATTTGGGAACACATGCCATCACAATGGTTTAAATCTTTTGAATATTAGTCATTCATATATTCTTATCTACCCAGTCCTTTGATTTTTTTTTTAAAAGATTTCACCTACGTAGAATATTACAGAAACAAAATATAAATGCATGTCTTTCTAAATGAAACTTACATGGACTAAAAGTAGAGAATATTTTTAAACAAATATACAATATGCAGGCAGACAAAGCAGGAAAACGGCCATTCAAATGTATAATAAAAAACTAAAAATTGACTATTTCCAGAAAACTATGAAGCGCCTCAACTAAAAGGAATGCATAATGAAAATCTAATCTAATACAGGTCAAAAATGTAAAAAGGTTATAAACCTTAACAGGAAAAATAAAACAACTTTTACTGGCCATTCCTGTTGAAATGAGAATCTTAAAGTAACAGAAAAGTGGCTACAAACCCACTTAGAGCACCAAACAGAGAGAAAATAAAAGTCCATTTTCATCTCTGTTATTATCATAAAATCCTGTGTGACTACAGGTCAAACTGCTGGTGGCAGAAACAGAATTCTTTATAAACTGCAGATGTCCTGTACATAAAAAAATTTCACTGGAGTTGCACTAGTTCTAAAGACTCTTCTGTTTTAGCCTACCTACTGTGTGTATTCAATCTGAGATAAAGTCTCTTTCTGTAACCCTTGATTATTATTGGGCACCAAAGATAAGAAAAGCAAGACGGGGTACAAAAATGCAAAATTTCAACAGTAATGGCAATGTTTTTGTCTTAGTCCAAAAGGGTCCTGCATTCTCTCCCCCTTCAGTGATTTGACAAGTCTTTGTACTTAATCTGGGGGCAGCAAATCATGCAAGCGAAATCTGTCTCTGATGTGAGGTCGAACATCTTCATTCTGTGTGGAGAAAAAGACATTTTAAAAGCCATGTAATTTCAAAAATATGACCCTCATAACATTGTGAACATTTTTCCTTTGCAGAGAAAATACACTACTATTTATTTTACAACTTGTATTATTTTGTTTGCCAAATACAAAGATACTATGCAGATGCAGTTAGCTAAGAATTAAATTTAGATTTAAAAAAAGAACTGTCATTCAAGTTGTAATTCTGTAAGGAATGATTATGCACTAAGAGGCAAAACAAAAAGACAGGCAAAAGTGTTAAGCCACTGAACTCTACTTTATATATTAGGAAAAAATAACCCCAGAATAAAGTTTTAGTAGCATAAGCATGAATTCTAGACCTCAACAATGAAAGCAAAGTGAAATCAATTTAATACTACTACTTAGGGACTTGCAAGAAGAAGCCCAATGAAATAAAAACACCCAATCTACAAATTTTTAAATACTGATAAGCATGATTTTAATATAATTTACAAGGTTAGAAAATGCTTGTAATTCTTTTCAACTTTTGCCCTAATTTCACACCAAGTTGACTTAAAATGTCAGTACACATAAAGCAATTAAAAAGGTTTATTTCAATAGAGTTGAGGCAACAAAAGCAAAACAGAGAAAGAAAATTAAGATCTACTTACCAGTTCTACAAGCTTCTCCAGAAACGGAATCAATTTTAGGAGTTCATTGTCATTTTTATCCATAAACCAGCTTTCTATAGGGATTCCATTAGATAGCTAAAACGATAAATAAGTAATTAAATCCTCTTTTAATTTACATTTTGCCTAGTTTGTAAAAACCTTGAAAGAGAAAAAAACAGATACTTAAGAAATACTGATCTATATAAGTTCCTCTGAAAAGGAATGCCATCGAAGTTATTGCTTGTCATATTCCAACAACTCCACAGTGCAAGAGACAGATGTTAAGGAATACATCAAAGCCTAATTGGTTTTTCTGTGTAATGTCTTCCTAGTGCATATGAAACTAAACAAGAAAGATCCATTGAAACAAGTTTTGCATTAACATAACTCAAAATATTACCTGACTGATTCAAGAAATAGCTACTATTAGTCAATGCAAGGTACTGTGAATGAAGGGGTACTGCCAATGTAAAGAGAACACTACCAGAAAGCCTATACTTTACACACGGACTGTGTCACATCTCATTGTTTTATTCCCAACAAATAGCAGGATAACCTGAAACAGCATTAATGTAACAAACAGATGCAGTGATATTTCACTGAAGAGGAGTCTAGAAACAAGAATGCAAACCATATTTGTTTTATAGTAAATAATCTCTAGGTTGTCTTTAACATTTATGCAGAACACTGTGTTTAAGATGGAGGACAAGTGAAATGATTTTATCCAGGAACCAATATGAAATTCTTAAAAACACATTTCAAAATGTGAGCAATGACCTAAATTAAACATATTTCAATACCATATGCAGTTTTCCCCTTTTCTCCTTTTTCATCTTTTTACTTTTTTACTTGTTCTACCTACATCCAACCCAATTTCCACCATCCCTATTCTGCACAGATGTATTGTGAAGGAAATCTCAGAACTATCACATGAACATATTCATAATGTAAAACAGATCTTGCAAGGATGCCTCATTTCTAGTCCAAGTTATATTTCTTTTAAAGGCCCTTTTTTTTTTAAGACTTTATTTATTAGAGAGAGAGAGCACAAGCACGGGGAGCAGCAGGCTGAGGGAGAGGGAGAAGCAGGCTCCCCGCAGAGCAGGGAGCTGGACGTGGGGCCCGATCCCAGGACCCTGAGCCGAAGGTAGATGCTTAACCAACTGAGCCACCTAGGCGCCCCCAAGTTATATTTCAAAGAAATACTGACACAGGGTATAAATATATTGACAAATTAGTCTAAGAAGTTATTTCAGAATGTCAAAGCAAACATACCAGAACATGGTTAAGCTATTTATAATTCTCAAACATGTTTACAATTACTTAACAACTGCTAAGAATACCATTAACTGATGTATATTTTATAGTCCCTTCTTATTTAGACTTATTACCCAGATTTTTATCTGTGTTGTAATTCATTTAAAAGAAAAGTTTCCACAAGGAATATAGCAATTTGGCATTTCTAATTCTAAAAGATAACACTAAACAGGGAAATTTCATCAGTGAAAATTCTGTTCTCCCATCATATTCCGTTTGGCAGCATTTGTTCTCATTATATATATTTTTTCCCAATCTGAATTTGTTTAGCAACCCTCCCTTCCTACCTGATATGCAAAGGCTTGTGGTGAGTTGTCAATTATTATAGTCTTTGAAAGATCTCTTCCAAGGATATTTAAGTCCTTTATATAGTTTCCTTGTACACAAACACAATGTTCACGGAAAAGCCGATGCCTAAACATAAAAATAAAAACAAATTAACTAAAAAAAAAAATCTCTAAAAATTACAGCATATACTGAAACATATACACATACCATAGGCTTTACAATTTAAGCCTTATTATTTTCTCTCACAAGGAAATTCAATTATAAATGTGAGCCTAAGCTTTGGGCTACAGTTTTACTTTAAAAAATGTTAGCAATTATTGAAACCTTACAACCAAATATTACCATGCCTTTAAGAACTTTGGCTCATCCCAAAATGTTATTATTAAATTATAAAGAGGGATTAAAAACTCTGTAAATTGTTTTTGTAATTTATTTACCCAGGAAAGCTCAGTTCAGATGCAGCATCTGGTTGTCAGCGAGGTCCTGCTTTTTAACCAATTTTCCAGATGGTTGACTGAGGCACAAGGAGGTCAAGTGACTTGCCCAAGGTCACACAGTAAGTCAGTGGTTAGCCCCGCATTGGAACCCAGTATCCTCCTGGCTCCCAGTCCTTTGCTCTAACCAGAAGACCACACAGCCTCCCTATCCCTGTACATGCCAGAATAGAAAATATAAGAAGGAATGTTTCTGTGTTGGCATTTTTAAAAATGTTTTTAGTTTCCCTTATAGTTTTTTGAGAAAGGTGTGGAGGCCAAAACATTCCATCATTTCAACTTTTCCCAAACACCCATCTTTCTTTTATTTTAGTGTGAGTGTATATATGATCATTTGAAAAAACAAGGATTGAATGAAATGATGAATTCTGATTTAAGTATTACAAATGTAAACTGATGTTTCACCAATGATACTCAACTGAAAAATGCTATTATCATTTAAAAAAGCTATTAAAGGTTTTATAATAATACTTATATACTGTCATAATTATATCATCTCATTTAGCACTCAAAATGTTAGTCTCCGAATATTACTAATAATTAATACAGATCACCTTGAAATGCTCCATTTGCATACATTAATAATTTGGTAGTTTGGCTTCCTTGTGTCTTAATCCCACTAAACAATTTTTCAGGAGCTAGGGCCTACTCATACCTGTATTTTTAATTATGGAATTTCAAGAAAGGGGCATTTTCTACCAACAAAATCTGCCTTAGCTCTAAAAACAACAAAAAAACTCAACCTTAAAAACACTAGTGCCAGTGGTGATGACAGTTCTCCAACCAGACAAAATGTAGTAGAAATAGTTCTCTTCCTCCCGTTTTATAAAGAATACTTTTCATTAAATGATCATCTACCTCTGTATGGCTTAAAGACCATCTTACTTTGAAAAGGTTAAGACCAGACAAAAGAATTTAAGTCCTGGTTGGGCCTATAAAAGATTCCATTTTTATTTGTATAAACATTTACATTACGTATGAGGCAACTAGAGAGGCAGGTGCAGCACATAATGCAAGTTACTACTACTGTTTCTTCCCTAATAGCAGCAAACTCACCCAAGACAGGAGACAAATGAATATGTATGTGGATACTAATGATTACTTCAATTAAATTACACTAAAACCCCTCCAGTTATTCAGGAGTCGGAGGGTCAGTAGCAGGTATTTGCAGTTTTAGAAAGAAACTACTTCTGCCAGTCATCAGATTTGCCTTTGGACTCGTGAGATTCAGAGATCATAGGAATTTCTGAGTATACCTTGTCTTCAACATAATTCCCTGAAGCACTCTAATGAATTCAATATACTATTCAAAAAGTTCTTCCTGTTTTAAATGATTCAAATACAACTACATAAAACATTTAAACTCCCAAATATGTAGATTATATAAAACTAGTTTAAAAGAGGGGTGTTAATCTGTAACATCATAATTCCATGACTATGACTTGCCTCCCAGTAAAATGAAAGCTCTAAGAGGGAAAGGCTTGTATTGCTCACCACTGTTCCATGGAACATTGGAGGTGCTGAATAGAAATCTTCAGAATGAATGAAGTCATCAAAGCAAAATCATTTGTGTACTTTTGTTAAAGTTAGGTAAAATGAGCATGTATTATACTTTCATGAATAGAAAACACCATTTTCATTTTTGTATCTGATGCTTGCTTATATGGAAGATAAAATGGAAAGTGACAAGGACAAATTTTGATCCTTTAGATTTAAAAAAAAAAAATCACAGTTCTATTTACAAGAAAGAAAATCTAAGTGTGGACATGAGAAAAAAGTCTTTTAGCATAGTTGCAACCACTCAATAACAAAGGTCCTATTAACAGTAGAAATTAGGATTTTCCACTAAAAAAATATGGAAGAAAGTATTCAGGAAAATGAATTCCCAGCTATTAAAGCTTTTATGAGCCTTTTCTGGCATCTCTCACAGCTCTTGGTCAAAAACATCAAAGAGTAACTCCGGCATCTTAAAGGATGCAGCAAGACTGCTAGCAGTCTTAATATCTCACTTGACAGAAATAATGGAACTAATTTTCAAACTGTTTTAAAATTACCCAAGGCACTCCCACCTAACCAGGAACACACTGCATCTGCTGGCTCAGGACACACACAAGGAACTGAGTCCAGATCAGGATAACTTGAGTGACTAAACCAACTGCAATTTCCAATTAGAGTCATGTAATGTTTTCTTTCCATGGAGGACAAATTTGCTCTTGAAAAAAGCAAAAGAGTTTAATTTATCCTGTTAAAATTAACCTTTATTCCTCTATGCCATTAAAAAGGTGACATAACATGCATTATCTCAGAGACATAAGGAAGTGAAAGTATCATGCACACAGTGAAAAATTCCACATACCCCCAATTTCCCCCCAGTCCCAAAAGAAGCGAGGATACAGATGGAACCGTGAGTGAATATATACATTTGACCTTTGTATCCTTTAAAGAACGTCTGTCTGGAATTATATCATTAGGAACTCTTAAAGAGTTTGGGGGCTTAAAAAAATTCATTTCACCATTCAACACAACCAATCTCTATATATGCAGCCAACTGAAAATGGCCATCAAAATTAAATAGAATCATAGTAATTTCATAGATCAGTGTGACAGACATTTCCACTATTTCTTAATTAAATTTACCTGACCAGTTGCTTTTTAGGGTCTAGTATGTTCAGTAACTTGTCTGCATACACCTTCTTAGAAGCAGTAAAAAGAATGATCTACAAATTCAGGGGAAAAGAAGTAATCATTATACATGATCTAAATATGGGTACTATATTGAATAAAATAAAAATACTTATGTAATTAGCTTAAGCATGTTTACCTCATACATCTGAGACATTCGTTCCAGGAATTCCCTGAAGAATGGTCTTAATCTCACGTAAACCTGAAGAAATAACAAAGACAGGCTTCAGTAAATAGACATATAGAAGAGAAACAACTTATTTATAAGAGATGTTGTGTTCTAACTTTAAATATAATTAAGAAGCTCATATTTTAAAGTAATAGAAAAGTACACTAAGTACCACTCAACCAAATATATTTCGTAAACCCAAAATCACAACAATCTTTTGGCAGGGTAATGATAATCATTGGTGATGTCACTTTTTAATATTTAAATGGCAGCATACAATATAATAGAACTTCGTGGAATATAATTTTAGTAAACATTTAAATTAAAAACGGAAGGTTTCCCTTTGAGATTTTGATCCACCAATCAGCTCCATCTTCCAGCCAGGTAGCATCCATCCAATTATTAGGCAGGCTGTGTGTCCACCTCTAGCTGACCTGTCTCAATGACCTTCCTCTATACTCAGAATTTCTTCTCAACAATCACCTGCTAAGAATACCTTTATTTTAAATCTCTATTAAGATAAATAATGTTCAAGAAAGAGATGTCTGGATTGGTGGGTTTAAATAACTGCAATTTTTCAGAATTCAATCTTGTTCTACATTTACTGATTCAGACATGGCATCTAAATTAGCGCTACTGGGCTACTCGAGATTGAAAATGTAACAGTCAAATATCAGTTATCAAAACCTACTAGCAATATCAGGAAAAACTACAGTACCCAAAAAACTGCCTTATATACATTATTTTATTTCTGTGTGTCTATCTTCTTGCCTACATTTAATGTAGCTCTTGTAATACACTCTAGAATTCAAAAAGCACAGAATTATAAACCATGAGCAATCACTAAAATGGATTTACAGAAGATTTTAAATTATATTCATTTTGTGACAAAATTTTATAAAAAGAAAATTTTATACTTTATACTCAACAGTGATTAACTTCAAACACCACGAACAACAAATATTTATAGAAGACCTATGCACCACATTTCACTGGATTCAGATTTAAAAAAAAAAACAAACCACTAGGAACAACAAATTCAAAATCTAGGCCTCATGAAATTTAATTCTGTCATTAATACACATCCACACAAAAATGATAAAAATCTCGTTCTGGGAAGGTTTTAGGGAAGAACAGGGAAATCATGCAAAGGATTCTAGGAAGTAGCGACCATTGTACTACCAATCTTTATAGTTTCCAGAGCCCTTTGGGCATAAGACAATGCCAAATATATAGTAAATACTTGATTAAAAAAAAAAAAAACCTGTTGAGTAAATGAAATAGAATTACCCAAAGTTAAGCAATATAGACAAAACAGAGAAAGAGAAGCAAGCCTATATGACTACACAAGGACAACTACTGAGTTTCCTTAAAAACTAATCATTTGTAGAAGACAAATTTTGAACAATTGTTACTTTGCTAATAGTATCACTACCCCTACCTCCAGGCTAGAATGATAAAGTACACTTGTTTTGAATCCTATTAGTCAGGCATTTTATTTCAATTTCTTGACTAATCAAAAACAAAGTGAAGCCATTTACCCCTACCCCTAGACCAAGTAAAAATAACCAAATCTTTGGTATCAATTCACTATCTTTAGGATAAGGCACAAGAAATTTAACTAGAGCTGCTCTTCTAATTAATTTTAACATTTTTCATCCTAAAAACATTTGGTACCACTTTGTGGCCAACCCAAGTAACTGACAGATTTCAGATATATTACTACTGCCTTAACTGGAAAGAACATTTTTATTAACTATGGGTCTTTTCAAAAATAGATTTGTGATGATTAAGAAAAAAAACATCAATTTAGTCAATACTTCTTTCCAATGACCTCATCTCAAGGATGATGAACTATGAACCATCAAAGCCTTTTGTTTGTTCCTAAGAAAGTTAATCATGCATTTATAATAACCAAAATACTTTATTTTTGCATTTATATAAATTATTTCATTTGTTCTCAATATCTGTTATCACTTGCTCCATACTCTAAAGTAAGCTAAGTAAGGTCCCTGTTATTTGGGATTTGTTTCCTCTGAACCCTAACATACTTCCATTTTAGAGGAAACTTCTATGTAAACAATATTATCCAAGCATAGGAAGGCAAACACCATACAAAGGTGACATTTCCAACTTCTTACACATGACTTCAGATTAAGTCAAAACTATAACTTCATTATACATTCTACTACTGTCACCATTCTTAATATAAAAATACATCTTAAAATTTGACATTACTTTCAAAAATGTCCTTGTTTACAGGGGATGAAAGGTGGCACTAAAGATGGGGGAATATATTGCTAGGCTGTTTCCTTACCATGAGAATAGAATTAATTGTTAGCTATAGAAGTTCCTATCCTCAAAAACAGATTCACCATTTGAACAGGAAGGTGTTTCTGTATTAAAATATATACACAGAAACTAAGGTGGTTAGTGGGGGGAAAAAAAGAATATAGAAAGATACAAGGTAACAGTGAGCAGGGGTGGAAGTTCTGCTTTGTGCTACAAAGGCAAAATCTCAGAGAGAAAAATAGAAATTGAGACACAAGGCCAGCAGGATCTAAGTCATTTGGATGGATATATTAAAGCAGAAATCTATGGAAGTCAAACACTAAGTACTGTTTAGTAGGAAACAGAAAACAGTTGTAAGATATGTGTAATACAAAGAGACAACAATCACTTATTGTGTGGGGTCACAGAGATAGAGACATAAACAAATGCACAGAGGCATTCCAGAATGCTTCCAAATCTATTCCACAGATGCTTTTAACTACATTTATCTTCTCCTAACTTGCTCATCACAAAGATTCCTGTCCTGAGCTGCCAATTTCCTATTTTCCATGTTCTTTCTCTACTTAGTATTTCACTAACCATCCTTCTTCAAACTTCTCTTTACAAAATTTTAATCTTCCATCACTGAACATACCTTTTGAAAAAGCCAAATGCAGAATGCTATAAAGAAACAATTATATAAAAATGCCATACCCAAAGATACGTCTTAAATAGGACTGACTACTATGCAAAGATACAGATTTATGAATATGTTCAAAATACAAAACTTTAAAAACAAAATCTACTAGAATAATACATGCAAAATAGTGATAATGGAACTAATCTTGTATATAATCTGTTGTGGACTGATTTTGCTAAAATTTAAATTTTACATAAAAAAATATATAATAAAACATTACATTAACAGTACATCAACATTCCTTCATATAAACAATACCTGATAGCCTATACTTTCTTCGGTATTAAGACAATGAGAACAGCCTATAATTGTGTATATACATAGTCCAACCAGGCCATAAATGGTAAGCAAAACTAGATTTAATAAAAGTAGCCACCAAAATAACAATCTAGTTATAAATTGATTATATTTGTGATAGTCTAAGTTCAAATTCATGACTAAGTATGCAGTGTCAAGCTATATAAACTGAATAATTTCTATTAGTTTACCAAACCTTATCTAATTTCATAGATAACTTTAACAGCATGACTAAAAAAAGAAAGAGGAGGAGGAGGAGAGGGAGAAGAAGAAGAAAACACCCAAAGCAGCCATCACTTTGTGGGCAAGTGAAGAAGAAAAAAATTCCTTACATGTAAATCTTTTAAGGAAAAATATGTCTTTTTTATTTTTATTTTATTTTTTTAAAGATTTTATTATTTATTTGAGAGAGAGAATGAGATAGAGAGCATGAGAGGGGGGAGGGTCAGAGAGAGAGGCAGACTCCCTGCTGAGCAGGGCCCGACGTGGGACTTGATCCCAGGACTCCAGGATCATGACCTGAGCCGAAGGCAGTCGCTTAACCAACCGAGCCACCCAGGCACCCAAATATGTCTTTTTTAAAAAAAAGATTTATTTTATTTTAGAGAGAGAGCTCGAGTAGGGGAAGGGGCAGAGAGAGAGAGAATCTCTCTGCGCTGAGCGTGGACCCTGATGCGGGGCTTGATCCCAGGACCACGAGATCATGACCTGAGCTGAAACCAAGAGTCGGATGCTTAAGCGGACACTTAATGGACTGAGCCACCTAGGTGCCCCTAAGGAAAAATACTTCTAAATGGTTGTAAGCACAGATAATATAACCTTAACATATCCAAAAAGAAACATCTTATTAAAAATTTTTCCATGATATCCTCTGAATTTATTGCTATACTGATAAAGCTTTTTAAATTGTTTTAATTTTTAACTTTTTTGAAGTAATCTCTATGCCGAACATGGGACTCAAACTCATGACCCCAAGATCAAGAGTGGCATGCTCCACCATCTGAGCCAGCCAGGTGCCCCATACTGATACAGGTTCAAAACAAAACAAAAAACAGTCAATTCAGTGGGACTCACCTACTTAAGAGTATGGCACCTTTAAATAAAAAGATGACTGGTAAATGCTATTTATTTAATTAGCAGTAAGACTTTAAAGCTGTAGAAAACCAACAAAGCTGGGGAATGTGAAGAATGAGATGCTACAAATAACTGAAAAATCTAACCATTCGTAGATACTTACTCTGCCCATTTGTTAACCCTTCTGTACACCTTTGTCTCCTCATTTATAAAATGGGTAAAATAACAGTACCTACCTCATAGGGTTGTTGTGAGGATTAAATAAGTTAATACATGTAAAGCACCTAGAAGAGTGCCTGGCACACTGAGACTGCCAACTATTATTACTATCCACCTTATTATTTAAAAGTACTCAGTCATAAGGAGAATAGCAGGAATGAGTATGATTCTATGGGGCAGAACTGGGTAACCTCAACTCAAAGAGAAAGCTGTACAGCAGCAGTCTATACTTTTAAATCATGAATTGCATCAGCTGATAGCTTAACTATTTAACTTAGTTAACATTTTCTTAGCATCAATACTAGAGCACAGAGATGGAACCTAAATCCTCTTTATAGAAGAGGGTTGCTCAGGTAGGCCCTGTGGAGACCTCAACTTCATAACCCACTGGGTGACATTATAGTAACGTCCCTTGCTTAACACAGTCCCAACAAGTAGATGGCTGCTGGTATAGTATTTGTAGGCAGACCAA